CCCACATCGAAAAAGTGCACTGCATTTTCCTGTATGTGAGAGAATTGGGCATAACTATCAAGAGATGGGACTGGTCTTCCCATAGTAAAATGAAGTAGATCTCACCTTAAGGTTTTGGTGAAAGTAATAAATCAGTATAGGAAAATACTGTAAGAAATTCTTAACATGTGTGTATGCATATGTTTGGAAGGGCAGTTAAGGAGATACTTAAAAATCAGTCATGAAGGGTGTTTTATGTCTTGTTTAGGATTGTTGAAAAGTTTTAAGCCGGAGAATAGCAGGATCAGGTCTTTATCTTGGTAAGACCACTCTGGCAGTTAATGAGGAGGATGAAGTTAGAAAGACCAGTTAATAATAAGTAGTTGAGGAGAGAAATAATGAACAAAGGCTTCGCAGAAGGAATGGAAGGTAGGGACAATTTTTTAGAAAGGTTTAGGATGTGGGAACCCAAGTTCGTTCACTCACTTATGAAAGGGTAATGATAACTCCTTCAGTTTTTGTTAGGATGAAAATGATGATGTATGTGAAAGTATTTTGTGATCTCCTAAGGTTTATTGTGTGATGATGGATATATTTATTGTTGTTGTTAGGTGCCATCGAGTCGGTTCCGACTCATAGAGACCCTACTTATGTACAACAAAACGAAACACTGTCCAGTCCTGCGCCATCCTCACAGTTGTTTTTGAGCCCATTGTTGCAGCCACTGTATCAATCTATCTGGTTGAAGGTCTCCTTCTTTTTTCACTGACCCTCCACTTTACCAAGCATGATGCCCTTTTCCAGGGATTGGTCCCTCCTGATAACACGTCCGAAGTAAAACGATCCTCCCTTCTAAAGAGCATTCTGGCTGTACTTCTTCCAAGACAGATTTGTTTGTCCTTCTGGCAGTCAGTGGTATATTCAGTATTCTTTGCCAACACCATAATTCAAAGGCATCTATTCTTCAGTCTTCCTTATTCATTGTCCAGCTTTCACATGCATATGAAGTGACTGAAAATACCATGGCTTGAGTAAGGCGAATCTTAGTCCTCAAGGTGACATCTTTGCTTTTTAACACTTTAAAGAGGTCTTTTGCAACAGATTTGCCCAATGCAGTGCGTTGTTTGATTTCTTTACTGCTGCTTCCAGGGGCATTCCATGGTAAGAAGGACCTGGCGATCTACTTCTGAAAAAACTGGGCAATGAAAACCTTATCAATAGCAGCGGAAGTGTTTCTTTAGGCTTCTTTAATCTGAAGTCACGTCTTTCTTTGTCTTTCATGATATTGACTTGTTTTTGAAGAATGTAGGTCAGTTATTTTGTAGAAAGTGCTGTACATATGTCTGATGTTTTCTCATAATTAGAGTCAGGTCATGTACTTTTTTGGCATGAATACCGTAAGAAGTGATGTTGTGTTCTTCTCAGTACAGCATATCAGGAGGCAAATGATGTCATTATTAGTGAGGTTAACTTCGATTACTTGGTTATGGGGGCTACTACCAGGTTTCTTCACTGTAAAGTTACTATTGTGGGGCAGTACTTGGCGACTATGTAAAATAGCCTGTGTATCCTGAAATTTTTACCCACTAGTCTATGAGTGTAGTATGGTATAGTTTTAACATCCATTAATGATTCTTTTCTGAACGTATTAATAATTGTGATGATTACCAAGTGGTGGTTTTTCTAATTCAGCCATTTTTTTGCATTTGTTAGTTGGATTTCTAGTGTAGAGAGAAATGTTTCTTATTTATTTACTTACATAAATCAGTGTAGACTTAGGGATTTTTAGTTTATGTAGTGGTTTAAAATCCTTTACTGTCATTATTTATGTTCGTGCTCAAACTGATGCAGATTTGTCCAGTGGGAGCCCTTCAAGCTAACGCCTGTCCTTTTAACACTCCTATCATCCTCTGAGCACTGATTTTTTTTTTTAAGAGAAAATATTTCCTGCATAATAAACTGAAACCAAACCCATTGCCGTCCAGTTGATTCCGACTCATAGCCACCCTATAGGACAGAGTAGAACTGGCCCATAGGGTTCCCAAGGAGCAGCTGGTGAATTTGAACTGCCAACCTTTTGGTTATCAGCTGTAGCTCTTAACCACTACCAGGGTTTCCTCCCTGCATAAAAGTGAATAAAAAATGTTAAAACAAACAAACAAACAAACAAACAGATTTTTATCACTTTGGTTTTAGTCTGTCTTTGTTTTCTAAAGTGCTGTTCCTTTTGTGGAAATTTAGGATGGAAGGAACTTTGGTTCCTATTTTGATTTATCTCCTCTCTTTTATGAGCTGTGCCTGCAAGTTGTAAAAAGAAGCTATATTCTTAAGCTTTTTCAAATGTTTTCATAATGCTTTTCAAATACAAGCCCCAAATGTTTTACTGTTATATTCAATAATCATAAAATTATTCTGTAAAATTGCTACAAAGTTTTTAAATGCATACCCTCATTTTCTGTACAGACTAGCATACAGTTTGCAGACCATCACAGGCCCCTGGGCCATGCTTTGAGTAGCACTGTCTTAACAGCACACAGCATATGGCTTCCTGCTCCTTTATCTAGGGTAATGAAAGAAATTAAATATTGACTGAGGGTAGCATGTTCATAGTTCTTGCAAAAGTTTTTTTTTTTTTTTTAAATTCTGGATTGATACGCACTCTTGGAGATAATTGCCCCATTTTCACACAACATGTTTAAGAAAGCCATAGTCATCTTTTATCTAATTACATTGCAGGTGCCCTTAGAACAAGGACAGTGTTTTATCTAGTTCTATGGCTCCCCGTAGCTGAGTGCGTGGTAGACTTCCCTACGTGTTGCTATAGGTTGTTACATTAAGTTCATTTTGTAATTCGAGGTATGTGATTGACCTGAATAAATTTAATCTCTGAGGTAGCTGAAACATTCATTCATCAGTAAATATGTATTCAGGCCTTCTGTGTGCCAGCCACTATTCATGTATGTTGTTGATAGTTGCTGTCAAGTCAGTTCCGACTCATGGCGACCCCATGGTAGGCATCAATGCATAGTTACATAAATGAACAAGGAAAGTAGTTAATAAAAATCCAGGCCTCATGGAGAGAGACAGTTGAACGAAATGTATGTAATTTGAAGGTGATAAATGCTGTGGAGAAAAATCAGCGAGGGAAGGGAGTGGAGGATGCTTGGGAAAGCAGTGTCCAGGGGCGGTGGTGCAGTTTTAAGTACGTGGTAAGGGAAGGCTGAGACTGAGAGGGTAACTTTTGAACAAAGACCTGAAAGAGGTGAGTGTAGCCTTCTAGGCAACCCACGGTGGTAGTGGGGGTGGTGGAGATATAGTAGATGTAATATAAGTTTCAAAAGAATAATTCTGGCTGCTATATTGAGAATAGACTGGGGGTGAGGCGTAGGGCAAAAGTAGGGAGACCAGTTAAGAACTACTGGAATAATCCAGGTGAAATGTGGTGGTTTGGGAATGAGGTGGTAACAGAGGTGGTGGTAAGTGAGCAGAGTCTAGATACATTCTGAAGGTGAAGCCAACAGAATTTGCTGATGGATTGGATTTGGAGTGTAAGACAAAGAGGGTATGATGCCAAGCTTTTGGCCTGAGTACTGGAAAGGTGCAGTTGCCATCGACTGTGATGGGGAAGACCGAAGGTGGAGCAGATTGGTGGTGGTGGGCAGATCAGGAATTCAGTTTTGGACATGAAATTTGGGATATCTTTTAAACATTCAAATAGAGATGTCAGGTAGGCAGTTGGATTCACAAATCTGGAGTTCAGGGGAGAAATATTCAGCCTGGAGATATAAATTTGGGAGTCATTAGCATGTAAACCCAAGCCTATTGCCATTGAGTCGATTCCGACTATTGCGACCCTATAGGACAGAGTAGAAGTGCCTCATAGGACTTCCAAATAGTGGCTGGTGGATTCGAACTGCCGACTTTTTGGTTAGTATTTAAAGCCCTGAGATTGAATGAGATTCCCAAGGGAGTTAGTGGTTAGAGAGAAGGGGACCAAGAACTGAGTCTTAGGGCACTTGGCTTTCTAAGCCAGGTAAAGTAAGGAAGCCAGCAAAGAAGATTGAGGAAGCACAGTTAGTGAGAATGGAGAAAAACCAGGGAGGGTGTCTTAGAAACCAAGTGAGTTAAGTGCATTTGATTGTGGATCCAGAGGGTTCTATTACTTGACTAAGCCACTTAACAAAGAACTTGGTGATTGTTATATTTTATTTTAGTTATGAGTTCCTTTAATTTCAAATGCCAACCTAGCAGAGGTAAAAATGCTTTATAATTTTAATTAAATTACATATAATATGTATATTTAATGGGCAGGGAAATTGGAGTGCAGTAGAAGTCATGACTTGCTGTGTAAGTTCAGATATTTATTGGTATAGTGATGTACCTAAGTAGGTACATGATGTATGCTAGGAACTAGAAAAACATATTTTTGCTGAGTTTATAATCTGGGAGATAGGAAGATACCACAAGAGTATCAAATACGAATCTCAGCCCAAAAAGTCAGGAGGAAGAAGTACCACATTTGTTTTTTAAAAAACAACTTCATTTGGACTCTGGGATCCTTCGGCAGGAAATTCAACCTCAGTCATCCTTGGGGCTCCCTTGCCTCATGTTATTTATTCAAAGGTTTGGTGTCATAAGGCTCAGGTTTTGCCTACACTGGTTATGGTGTTGTCTTTCATTGCCCTCCACAAAGTTCCTTCACCTGAGCCTTAAAGGCTAGGTGGGGTTTGCCAGACATGAGTTTGTATGTCTGTGGTGCTTGCTTATCTAGGGAGTGCCTTCTGTGTGTATCATTGGAACAAGAGGTACGTGCATGAGTTGGGTATGTGTGTGGTGTCTTTGGGGGAGAGTGGTGCATATTGGGTAGTGAGTATTTGAGTGTGTGGGGTGTGCGTGTGTGGCGAGAAGTTCATACTGTTGCAAAAGAGCTTCAGAAAGAGGGTCTTGTTACTTTGAGGATTATTCTGGTAACAGTGAGCTGGATGGATTTGAAAGTGAAGTAGTTTAGGAGGCTATTTTAGTAGTTGGTGGGAATGGGAAGAAGAGAACTGACTGGACAGAAATTACCCCAAGAATCTGGGGAGAAGGCAGAATTAATGACTCTGGGTTTCTATGCTGGGTGCAAGATTATTAACGGTATCATTAATGGAAACTGGATAAGTCAGGATAGGAATTTATTGTGACAGGGAGATAAGGGTTTTAATGTAGGATTTGATAAGCTATTGGAGCCCTGAAATGAGATCACATTTGGAATTATAGAGAGTTCACTGTATAATTAATCTGCAGGATCTTGCTTAAGACCACTCGTTTTTCCTGTTGACTGTTATGAGGAAGACAGTAATGGAGGAAGATACTGATGAGAAAAAAGGAAATGACTGTAGGTTTTTTGCTTTAATAGTTAAGTGGTATTTTTAATTTTTATTTATATAAATATTGTAATTCGTATTTACCTTGTAATATTTTAACAATTAAAAATTCAACATGCTTAATATATCCTTTTTAGTTTTATCTTTCATCTGTCTTCCCCTAACGTATTTGCTGAGTATTTATAAATTGACGTACTGCTGCGACTGTTTTTGAATGATCTTCATCAAAATTTTACTGGCATGTGATATTAATGATATTGTTTGATAATTTCTGCATTCCGTTGAATCACCTTTCTTTGGAATGGGCCCATATATGGATCGGGAAGTCTATAATCAAAAGCAGTTATGAATTTAGTATTGGAAAATGGTTGGTATACTTGGAAACATTATTCAGTCTTCAGGTAGAACGTGATGCACAAATAGTTTCATAAACTCTTTGGTTTCACCGGTTGGCAACTGCTGGTACTGAATTTGAACCAAGGAGTAAGAGTAACTGTTGTGTCCATTTCGCCTTAAAGAAGGCCCAGATATTATGCAGATTTCATTGTTGTCTTATTGTACCAGTTAATTCAAGTGTGATTCACTGGATAGAATTTGGAAACCTGTTTTGCTTGCAAAATTAGACTTGCAAGTTAAGTTTATTTGGGTATACGAATGCACGTTAACTTAAAACAATATCTGGTAACAATTTTACTATCCTGTGTCATATTAACTCTCAGGGCTGGTTGCTGTTGAAAATAAGTTTATGTCCCTTGTGGGATGTTGACATCTGGGAGAAAAATTGTACTCAATGTTAATTTAATCTCAATAATACAAAATCACATAGTTGGGCTGATGTTGTCTTTATTCTTCCATTCATGTACTGATTACCGCAGGTAAATATGGTTTTCTCATAATCCTCTCCAATGAATTTTAGCACTCTGTTACTAAAAAACAGTATTCCTGCAAAGCCTAAATTCTCCATAGAGTGGATACTGTACATCATTATCTAATTTAAAACTCTTGAGCTTGGTTTTGGTACTGCTTAGTAACCTGGATTTTCGTAATGGGAGCTAACGTGTACTGGTAGGCTAATTAGGCAGCTGTTTGTCCATCATGACCAGGCATACATGACAGTCATTCTTTTTCTTTTTTTATGGCAAAGGTTTGTTTTATTTGTTTTTGTTTTTTGCCAGACTTGGACATTTAGATATATTATGTTAGTATCTTACTTCCACGAAGATTAGCTAGGATAATATAATAAGCTATTTAATTGAGCTACAAGCAAATCAAAGTAAAGCTTATTAAAGCGAGCATGGATTTTTGAATGTGAATATTTTAAATTAAATATTGGAATTATTTATAGTTGCCCTGGGCATAGGTTCATTATAGCATTTTGTTATTGTCACAAGAAGTTTCTACTTGCTTATTTAAATTCCCAGTAGCAGGAGCTAGTACTTAATTTATATTTCAGTCCTAAGAAATTAAAGGAAGACAGTGCCTAATGAATATAAAAACTGCTGTTAAATCTTGATTGTTTACTTTAAGGATGCTTATATGATTTTAGTTCCCTGCCTTTCAGACATACTTTGAACTGCTGTCAGATTGTGGGTAATCAGTGAATATAAACTAAATTTAAAAGCCTAAGCAAGATAATTTTAGATTACCCAGGTTAGGGAAAACAAAACAAATAAACACTTGCTGTAGGAGAAAAAGATTTCAGAGCTGAATATAAGCAGTGTTTTTTTTTGCTTTCTCTACTTATTTGGAATATTTATACCATTTTCCTTCCGTTACTCAGGAACAAATTGACTTAGCACTTCCAAGTTAATATTAACGATAATATTAGTGCATACACACACGTTTAAGGTTTTATAGAAAAAAGTCTTTCCCATGTCTAATTTGACTGACCAACCGAGTTAACTAATTTTATTGCTGTGTTCCATTAAAATCCTAAATACAATAATCCATTATTAAAAGAAAGAAGTAGGATTAAAGTGGAGAGTTGATTAAAATAAAGCCTTTAAAAAAAAAAAGTACTTTTGAGTAAAGTAGCAGCCTTCAAGTGAAATTCAGTTTTCATCTCCTTTACAGGAATAGCTATTCTCAGTCAGACAGAACCACTTATCACGTTTTGCATATCTCCTGAGGAAGTCAGAGTCTGAGCCAGCATGAAGACTGAATCTTGTCTTTGATCTGATTTATAAACCATACTTTTATTCTAACCATGTGCAAGGTGGAGGTTATAGCATGGAAACTAAAATCTTAGTAAGTGTGATTTTTATTTTAGCTATTAAGTAGCCTTTCTTATGGTGAATACTGTTCACTTAACAGAGTTCACAATACAAATGGGGTGAGGACTTGGCAAGCAGGGACATACGCACTTCTAAAGTGAAAGATTTAGCTTTCCAGGCTCAGGAACAATTCCCTGAGAAAGAGAGGGAAAAGCTTCTATTACTCTGCCCAGGATTACTTTCCCTTTTCTGGTTGAAGGTAAGCGGTGGGATGTTATTAAGTTGAGAAGGGATTTTAAAAATGAAGAAGTTGGCTTTAGTGGCCAATGCCTAACATGAAGCTATTAAAAATAATTGTTATTAGATTTATTATGCGAGTTTCTTCATTTTTAAATTGTTGTTAAGAGCCGTCGAGTCGATTCCAACTCATAGCAACCCTATAGGACACAGTAGAACTGCCTTATAGGGTTTCCAAGGAGCAGCTAGTGGATTTGAACTGCCGACCTTTTTGGTTAGCAGCCGAGCTCTTAACCACTGTGCCACCAGGACTCCCATTTATGAATTAGTTGTCATTAAATAATAAAATGTTCATTATGGTGTTTAGTAAGTCCGTTGTAGAATCCTAGGAACCTTCTTTAAAATAGTGAATATTTTAAATCGGAATTGAATTTTGAATATATAAATATATTTTAAATATACAAAATAAGGAATATTCAAAATTATATTGAAGTGATTACGTTAGTAGTTATCTTAGCAAAGTTCTGACAGTTTGATTTTCCCAAGTACAGGTGACGTACAGTTTTTTTTTTGTGTGTGTGTGTGCTCCTTTCTGAACTAGGTTTTGAGGATATAAAAGATCAAGGAACTTTATCTCTATTTTACCCTGTTACTTTGTTAGTTGTAAGGATCACTCAACATCTTTTCTACCTGTGCTAATTAAGAGCAGTGGGTAATTAGCACTTTCAAGCTGCTTTTGATAGAATCATAGAATTGACTTTGATCTTTTGAATTCTTCAGTGAATCAAACACTGTTCTGTACCTGGATAGCATAATATCTATGTTCATAATTTGAGAATGCTTATCTGTTTAGGATGCCGTTTGGCTTTGTTATTCCCCTTCCCTTTAAGAGTCTTTTAATTATTGGTTACTTTTCTAAGGTGATGGCGATGTCCGTGCTGAAATTAAACATTCCTATTAGTGGCTTACCTATTTTAACAAATTCTTTCCCTCTTGGAACTTTTAGCACAGACCACCCTTTATCTCCTTTGTATTCCAAAGTACAATTTCTTTGTATCTTGAAGTGTAAGGTGCTTCTTTGGAAACTTGTTTCCAGTGTCTCTATGGAAATCAAAAAGGAAAATCAGGATAATTCAGTATGAAATTTTACATACCTTTTCTGATAAATACATATTTTATATGTTGAAGGGTACTTATGTTTTCTGGGCATATTTTCAGAGGTGGAATCATGTTGTTATTGTTTTAATAACTATGTCCTAATTATTTATAGCTTCCTGCCTGACATAACTTACTTCAAGAAGTGCACAATGTCAGAACGTGGAATTAAGTGGGCTTGTGAATACTGTACGTATGAAAATTGGCCATCTGCAATCAAGTGTACCATGTGTCGTGCCCAGAGACCTAGTGGAACAATTATTACAGAGGATCCATTTAAAAGCGGTTCCAGTGATGTTGGTAGAGATTGGGATCCTTCTAGCACAGAAGGAGGAAGTAGTCCTTTGATATGTCCAGACTCTAGTGCAAGACCAAGGGTTAAGTCCTCATATAGCATGGAAAATGCAAACAAATGGTCGTGCCACATGTGCACATATTTGAACTGGCCAAGAGCAATCAGATGTACCCAGTGTTTATCCCAACGTAGGACCAGGAGTCCCACCGAATCTCCTCAATCCTCAGGCTCTGGCTCAAGACCAGTTGCTTTTTCTGTTGATCCTTGCGAGGAATACAATGATAGAAATAAACTGAACACAAGGACCCAGCATTGGACTTGTTCTGTTTGCACATACGAAAACTGGGCCAAGGCTAAAAAATGTGTTGTTTGTGATCATCCCAGACCTAATAACATTGAAGCCATAGAGCTGGCAGAGACTGAAGAGGCATCTTCAATAATAAATGAGCAAGACAGAGCACGATGGAGAGGAGGCTGCAGTAGTGGTAATAGCCAAAGAAGATCCCCTCCTACTGTGAAACGGGACTCGGAAATGAAAATGGATTTTCAGAGAATTGAATTGGCTGGTGCTGTTGGCAGCAAGGAGGAACTTGAAGTGGACTTCAAAAAACTAAAGCAAATTAAAAACAGGATGAAAAAGACCGATTGGCTGTTCCTCAATGCCTGTGTGGGTAAGTTTCTGTTTTCTGCGTTTTTTGAATGCGACGGGAGAAGTTATTAAAAATGACATGAGAGATGTAAGCAGGATCAATATTATTTAGCTTTGATTTCCAGTTATTTTCTAGGCTTTCTGCTGCTTGTCAAAGGTCCTTCAGCATGATACCTATGCTCCACAATACCCATGCATCAGAATCTGTATCTGTAGTCTTGTCATAGCTTTGTCTTAAACTGCCTACACTTAATTGTATGCATGTTTCTCCATCATGAGGAGGGAGGACTTTTATGTTAAAGCATAGATTCTTACACATGGGTAATAGAACATATACCTGGAGTTGAAAACTGCTACTCCGTTTATTGTAACAAGATGTGACTGAAGAACACCAGCTGCTCTTCCAGAGTGTTTGTAAGCAGTATGAGCATCTTGTGATGATGGAAGCATTAGTCAGATGTTAAAAATATCACAAAAATGTGTGGCTCCAAGAAGTTGAACAGACATAATAATGACCTTGAAATTACTGATGTTAATTTAACATGAGCATCATATCATATAGTAAATATTTGTAAACTTTATGAAACTGATTTCACGTAGCCAGCTGATTGCATAGATCAAATTATGATTTGTGTGTTTTGTGTTTATAGTGTTTTCCTAAGGAAATTCTGGCTATGGGTCTCCCGTTCTAGCTAAGAACTACAAAGGACAGAGACTCATGAGAGCAGGGTTTTCTCCAGTTATTCAACCTGTGAGTTAATTATTTGTGATGTAATTCACAAAAGCAGGTCTTCAGTGTTTTCCTTTTTTTTGAGTAGGTTAGATATTTGAGTTTTATGATTTCAATTATTTGGATGGGGGGCTTACTTTAAATTTTGAGTGATCACTCAATTTTGAATGATTACTTTTTTTTATGACAAAAGGTTTAAACTTTGTGTGGATTAAACTTCGTGTGGAACACTAGATAAACCTTAAGCATTAGCTGTGGTTACCCCCCGCCCAGTACTAATTTCTTTTGTTTATTTCCCTGGTTATAGAAAATAAGGAAATACATACATTCCAAAATAGGGAACACATAGCTATATGAACCTGCAAGTCCTAAGAGCAGATTTAAGAAATCTGAGTCTTTTTTATTTTAATTTTGTCCTTATAAAATGCATGTCCCAGCAGATGAGCCCTTTTGAACACCAGTGTGGTCCCAGGCACAATAGGCAGTTAGTAACTGTTAGCTCCAGTTTTCTCCTGCCCTGAAGTAGGGTAATCCCTCCTACCTGTGTCATCTCATCTCATCCCATTGCCCCCCCTCCCCCCAATCACATGGTGTGATTGTCTTTTTTTTTTTTTTTTTTAAGTAGGAGATACAAAAGGATTTTATTTATTAGTTTTTTTTTTTTAAATTGAGGTGGAATTCACATAGTATAAAAATAATCATTTTAAAATGAACAGTTCATTGGCATTTAGGACACTCACAGTGTTGTGTAACCGCCACCTCTATCTAGTTTCAAAACATTTTCATCACCCTAAAGGAAACCTCCTATCCATTAAGCAGTCATTTCCCATTTCCTCCAACCCCCAGCCCTGGCAGCCACCAATAATGCTTTCTGTCTGTGTGGATTTACTTATTCTGGATATTTCATATAAATGAAATCATACAGTAAGTGACCTTTTGTGTCTTGGTGTGATTATCTTTTAATTATTTGTATGCTTTTTGGAGCACTCTTAAAATTATTTTCGCATGCAGTATTGTGCTGTGCGTACTTTTACTGCAAGATGTTAGAGTGCACAGAGTTTAATAGATGGAAATGAACTGGACTTCATCATATTAATTCTTTACCTCTTTTGGGGGTCATAGAATCCTTTAGGGATCAGGGGTTCATTTTTCACCCAAGTCAGTGAGTTCAGGATAAGAACTCCTGTTCGTGAAACACAGAAGTTAGACCAATCAACATAAGTTTACTCTCTTGTTTTTATTGCCTTTCTTTCCTCTCTTCATGGTGCTGTCTTTTGTTTCTTTTCCATACACCCTTACTTTTTTTTTTGAATAGCCATGCTTGTATCTCTCCTCATTCTAGTAGCTGTGAGTTCATTTTAAAGGTGGAACAGAAACTCCTACCAGCAAGACCAATTTTGGATTTAGTCTTGTTTCACTTACAGAACAATTTTGTTATTAAGTTTCTGTTCCCACTCAAAATTTCTAGGTTCTTAGAACCAAGAGGTGATTATGTTTGGTTCTTGGTAATGTGGATTCTGAGTTTCCTGTTGGCAAATAACCTTCGACTGTTCACTGCACAATATGGTTCTGAACTGATGAGTAACCGATTATGGCTCTGTTTGTATTGGTAGTCGTAACCCTCAGTAAACATCACTGAAATATGTTAAAAACTTTTCTTCAAAGAACTTGTTTACATTGTATTGGGCTTCAGTTGAAAAAACTTAAGCAGTAAGACTAACAGAAGTCTGCAGGTACTGAAAATTAATCTTTAGTTCCCTGTTGCTGCTTGCCCTATATTCTCTAGACTTTATTGTTGTTGTTTGTTAGGTGCCGTCGAGTCGGTTCTGACTCATAGCGACCCTGTGTACAACAGAATGAAACATTGCCTGGTCCTGTGCCATCCTCACAATTGTTGCTATGCTTGAGCCCATTGTTGCAGCCACTGTGTCAGTCCATCTTGTTGAGGGTCTTCCTCTCTTTTACTGACCCTCTACTTTACCCAGCATGATGTTCTTCTCTAGGGATTAGTACCTCCTGATGACATGTCCAAAGTACGTGAGATGAAGTCCCGCCATCCTCGCTTCTAAAGAGCATTCTGGCTGTACTTCTTCCAAGATAGATTTGTTCATTCTTTTAGCAGACCAAAGAAGAATTGATGCCTTTGAATTATGGTGTTGGTGAAGAATATTGAATATACCATGGACTGCAAGAAGAACAAACAGGTCTGTCTTGGAAGAAGTACAGCCCTAATGCTCCTTAGAAGCGAGACTGCATTAGATATAGTATATCATGGCTTATTGGTGTTATGCATTTAAAAAAATCATCTCCAAAGTATGTATACTAAGTATAAAATGTATACTGAGTACAGAATGTGAGACTTTCCCATTTGAAATTAGAAAAAATGTCTCAAACTCAAGTCATCTTGGTGGCTGGTAAAATAGGAAAGAAGATGATTTAGTTGTTGAGAAGGCAGAAGTAAAGCAAAGCAACAGTATTGAGCAGGTGTCTTTTAAATGACTACTGGGTGTAAATTTCACAAATCATATTATCTTATGTGGTGAGAAGACGTGAAATTTTTCTCTTGGTGAAGACAATGCCAAGCATGACATCAGTAGAAGTGGAATCTGGGGGTAGAAGTGGGGATGGTAAAGGCAGAAGGTGTGAATTTAAATTTGCAGTTGTCTCTGGAATGTCTGCAGTCTGGTGCCAGGTGTTTTCAGGCGGTTCATGTCAGTACTCACCATAGACTGCCTTTCTCAGTGGATAGATAATAATACAGCTGTCACATAGGGCAACACTACCTAATACACTGTTTTTTGCTCTATTTTACTGAATCAGTTGCCCTTTAAAAAAGCATTTAAATTTGTAACCCAAGTTGATCTCTCAAAAAGACACAGGATTAGATAAGAACCCTAAATTAAATCTGTTATAACTCTTATATCTCTGAACCCTAGACTCATACTCAGATGCCTTCTCAATATCTCCCCTTTAATATCTAATAGACATTTCAGTTTCAAAGTCTAAAACTCAAGTGGTCTTTCCCTCAAATCTGTCTTAGGGTTTTCCATCTCAGTTATCATTCCATTTGTTTGTGCCAGAAGCCTTGGTCATCCTTGCGTCTCTCTTTTTCTCCTAACCACCTTCCTATTTGTGAGAAAATCCTGCTGGCTCTACCATCAAAATATTTCCAGAATCTGACCATTTCTCACCATCCTGGTCTAAGCCACAGTCCCCTCCCTGCCCTCACCCTCCATTACAGTCTGTTCTCAACAGAGGAGCCACAACAGCTCTTAGAACTCTGCTCAGAACTCTCCAGTGACTTCCCGTGTCACTCAGGGTAAAAGTCCCTCAAAGACTCTCCCTGGCTCTGTTCCTGCCACCCCACCCTTCTGTCCTGTTGCTCTCTGTCTCACTCATTCCTCTGTAGTCACACTGGCCACGTGGCTTTTCTGCAAGCAAGCCAAGCATGCTCCTGTCTCAAACCTTTGTACTTGCTGTTTCCTCTGCTGAGGTTGGTCTTTCTCCAGGTGTCTCTTTGCAGGATTAGCTCATTGACCTCACCCAGGGCTTTCCTCAGGTGTTGCCATCTCGGTGAGTTCCTCCCTGATTGCTGTATCTAAAATTGCTGCTCTGTCCAAGTTGCCCTTTCCCCAGCCCTCCCTGCTTTATTTTTCTTCCTCGCACTTGTCACCTTCTAACCCACTTAAACCTTGTTGTTTGTCTCTTCTCTTCCCTAGAATTTAAGCTTCATGAAGGCCAGCAATCTTGTCTGTTCTGTTCACTGCTGTATCTTAGTACCTAGAACAGTCCCTGATGCTTAGCAGCTACTCAGATATTTGTTAAATCAATGAATGACTCCTTTTAGATACTGCAATCTGGAGAAGTAGACCTTCACCCTGTTCTCCCCTGCATTTCTAGATAAGTTGCTTTCTTCCTAGCTTTCTGTGTTTTCCACCTTACAGGCTACTCAGGGCTCGGCCCAGGGGAGCCAACACTACCTTTCCCTCACTGTCGGGAAGATAGAGTGTGATAAGCTCTTATTGGGAAGGAGTGTTGTTAGCTGTCCTCGAAAAGGTTCCTGACTCATGGCAACCCCATGCACAGTAGAATGAGATGCTACCCTGTCCTGTGCCATCCTCATGATCTGTTGTGAGTCAGACCATTGGAAAGGGTGGAGAAGCCTCAATTTATCACCAGGCCCCAGGCAGTCTATGGACATGAAGAGCCTGAAGTCACATTTCTTTACCTTTGATTTTTCCATCTTTCTACCCTCACTTGTGGCAGTATTTGATAAAAAGATAAAAAGCAGT